AAGTTGGCCTATGTTGGCCCTATGTTGAGCCATCTTGGAGGCTATGTGGGGCATATGTTGGGGATCGGTTGGCTATCTTGGGCCTATGTTGGGGATATGTTAGGCGATTTATGTTGAAAAATCTTCCGATACAACTTTTTACGATTTTTTTCTTCCCGCAAAGCAAAAACCATGAAAAAACCTAGGTTTTTTGACATCGCCCAGATGAAATTCTCGGCCGCCGAGGGCCCCCAAACCCTGTAAAACACAGTGTTTTTATACCTCACACACACGAAACCCTGTAAATTACGTTGATATCAGTGACTCGGTGGTCCCCCCGTTTTGGTGACGAGGGTCGGCGGTTGGGGGGGGCGAGCGTCTATAACCTTCGGTTACCACCGAAGGCCCTCCGGGCATGCCACGGGCGTTCTGGCCGGCGCCCGGATTTAAGGGCTGCCGCCCCTGCCGCCGACCCCGGATTCTCAGGTCCGGCTTTTCCTCCACTGGTTGGCATTGCGAGGGTTTTTCGAACAGGGGTTTCAGTCGTCCTTTTAAAGGTTGCTCTTCTGGAATCGTCGTTTCTTTCCGGTGTCGAGGTCGGTGCCCGTGCGGAGCGTTTCATTGCCTGCTCTCTGGATTGTTTGCTAGCATTTTCCACCACTAACCAGCCTCCCAAAAAGCATCTGAAACCACCCCTTCGCCACGGCTTTAACCCATTGAGTTCTGCTCCAAACGAGCCCCAATTCCTCGGACGTTCGGTGTCAAACGGACGCTCTGGATTCCTAGAAAAAAGACAATTTGCTAGCATTTTCCACCACTAACCAGCCTCCCAAAAAGCATCTGAAACCACCCCTTCGCCACGGCTTTAACCCATTGAGTTCAGCTCCAAACGAGCCCCAATTCCTCGGACGTTCGGTGTCAAACCGACACTCTGGATTCCTAGAAAAAAGACAAGTTGCTAGCATTTTCCACCACTAACCAGCCTCCCAAAAAGCTTCCACCAACAGCCTGCCAAAAGCTTTCCAGCCTCCCAAAAGCATCTGAAACCACCCCTCCGCCACAGCTTTAACCCATTGAGTTCTGGCGGATCTATCATTATTCCCTGGCGCGCTCCCCCTTGCGTCGGCCGGGGTCGGCGGATATGTATGCACACAGTATATAGGGAAAATCTGCAGGACACCCATATGGTTCTTGGGGGTAAAGATAGGTAAAAACCTACGATTTCCAGTAGATTCGACCCATGGGCTTCGGCTCAGTCCACCCAACACGTGCCGCTGCGACAGCGACACGTTTCAAACGCCACCGGCGACTGCGACACCGACGCAACCGCCGTCAGGATGGAGCCACGGTGAAGCTCGGCGGACTTGGGAGATCGGAGGGGCGGCTCCACCACGCAAGTGGAAGGCGTCACCGAGCGGCTCGGGAGGCCCTGAATTCTTATAAGGGGGATTGGTTAGGATGAGTCCTGAATCCTCAAACTTCAGAACGATGGCCTCCAACCAGAAAGGTATTGTTGGGATGAGTCCTGAATCCTCCAAAATCCTCAGAACGATGGCCTCCAACCTCAAGGGATTTGTTGGGATGAGTCCTGAATCCTCCATAATCCTCAGAACGA